AGGGAAAAGGGCGGCATACAAATAAAGTATATTCTATTCTATTCTATTCTAAAGGTGAGAGCTTCAGGTGTCTCCACCCTTTTTGGCACCTCTTTAAAATTGTGCATTTTCCTGGGATTGCACAGCTACTGTGTGAGCCCTGGACAGGACAACATCTCCTTGAAGGAGGCATCAACAGGAGCACTGCGTGCACCCCTGTCTGTTCTGAGGAAAGATTTGGGATTTGGATTTGAGGCTCTTCACGTCTCTAAGGAAACAGAGGAAGGGGGAGAGAGGGAGGGAGGGGGAGAGAGAAAGAAAGAGGGAAGGAGGAGAGAGAGAGTGAGAGAGATTATGCCTCTCAAGGTATGGAATTATGGGTAGAAGTTATAGAAAGACAGATCTCAAATACATGTGAGAAACGCCTTAACATTAAGAACGGGATAACCAATGATTGAGAGACACGGTGAGCTTTCCTTTGTTGGACAGTCGTCTTTTCGGGCAAATAAATTTTCTGCACCTAGCAAGGGGGTAGATTCTGTGGCTTAAGCAGCCCCTGATATCTCTGGGACCTCAGATGAGCATTGCCTACATGGGGCACCAAGATAGGTCTGCAGATACGGTGCAACAGATATGGGTTTAATAAAGGAGATGATTTGGAGCTCAGGGTTGATATGAGGGGGTCCCTGGTTCGCTCTGAGCTCGCTTGTTTTCTTGCAGATGTTTAATGACCCAAATTAGGTAACCTCATCAGGGCTAGAAGGACGTGGGATTTGCAGGGAGGAAGAGGAGGAGGAAGCTGAGCTCTTTGGGGCTCTCTGAGCTTGCTTGTTTTCTTGCAGACATTCCATTATCCAAGCTAGTTAACATCTTCACCATCATCAGTTTTTCAGTTGTCCCAGCGCTTGAAAATGCAGACCAAGGATGGCCTCTTTTACTGGTTACCAAGCCTGTTGGAGGACAGCGTCGGTCCTTGATTAATCGTGATTCAAACGCGTATGGCAGTGCTTGGGTTGCACTAACCCAAACGCCCCGGTTAAATTCTTTTCCTTCTGCAGTTCCGCAGTTCTTTTGAAGTTGTGTTTTGAGCGGGATATTTTTTTTTTTTGCTTTCTTTCTTTTTTGGGGTTTTCATCTTGCCTCGCCATTTCACAGCAGGGGTGTCAGTGACAGCTGCAGTCGGGGTTCCCCTGATGCTCTTAAATACCTGAGGCCAGCCTCTGGCACAAAAACTCCGGGCATTCCCCCTTGGATGCCTGCACCCTCCTGTTCTAGCAATCTGTGGCTGAACAGATGTGAGTTTGGCTCTGTGCAAAAAAAAAAAAAGGAGATTTTTTTTTTCCCGGAGACTCGGTCCTAGATTAGTCGCTACTAAAATAGCCTCCAAGAGGCGAGAATTGACCTTCAGCAAGGTGCTTGCTCAGAGGTGAATAAGTATTCTGGGTTTTTTTGTTTTTTGTTTTGCAAATGGATGTAGCCCTCCCAGTGTCGCATCCTTCCTAAATTCCAACATTTTGGTTTCTTTTTTTCAAAGGTGTTTTTAAGAGATCGCCCCAAACACTTCCTTTCTTGGCATGGCTCACTCTTTATATGTTAAAGGTAAAGGTTTTCCTTGCACATATGTGAGCCGGAGGTGGGTTGCACCCAGTTTGGCCGAATCAATAGTGGTATTTTGGCCTGGGTTGCAGAACCGGCAGCAACCCAGGCTGGCCACGCCCCCAAACCGATTCTCCAGTTGCCACAGTCATTGCCGACATGTTGTTTAGTACTGCATGCTCAGTACACTGTAAATTGTTCTGCTCAACAATTTACGTTGAACTGCGCACACACGTGCAGCAAACCAGTAGTAAAACCGGGAGCAAGCCACCTCTGATGTGTGCTACTCATTCCCGACTCTAGTGCGTGGTGCTCATCTCCATTTCAAAGCCAAAGAGCCAGCATTGTCCGAAGACATCCCCGTGGTCATGTGGCCAGGATGACTCAACATCGAAGGCGCATGGAGAGCTGTTACCTTCCCATCCAAGGTGGTCCCTATTTTTCTACTTGCATTTTTACGTGCTCGGTTGGCAGAAGCTGGGACAAATAACGGGAGCTCACTCTGTTACGTGATGCTAGGGATTCGAACTGCCGAACTGCCGACCTTTCTGATTGACAAGCTCAGCCTCTTAGCCCCTGAGCCATCTTCTTTGTATGTTAATAGGCTTTAAAAATTCTTCTCCCCATATCACTGCAGCTTCCTTTGCTTGAGAAGCGATAAAACACGATGCACTTAAACTCCGCCAACAATGGCCGGATGTATGCATCTGTGTGTATTTTTTTTCTTCCCCTTCTCCAATTCCCAGGCTGCCGCCTCTTCTCTCCTGCTGTCAGCCGGTGGAAGGGAGGGTTGATCTTTTCACTTTGTTGATTTTTGCGCTCATTCTAGCCTCTCAGGGATTCTCTCCCGTTCACCTTGTACCAGCAATCTCATTTGCATAAGTTACAAAAGTTTTAACTGTACCTTGTTAATATTTGAATAGAGTTGGCAGATGTTTTTTTTTTTTCCTCCTTCCCCTTGGTTTCCATGCCATTCATATCCTGGTTTGAAAACAAAATCTAGTCAGTGACTTGATTGCATCTGTTAACCAGCGCAAGATAAAATCAAGGCTGTGGTTCGGGAAAGGTCGGTGAATTTTTAAAATCAAAATGGGAGAGAGCTTCCCCACCCCCACCCCCACCACACCCTTGCTGCTTTTTTTGCCATTGCTGTAGTGGTCACAAATAATGTTTTATCAAACCCATATTTGGAAGGGGAAAGTGCTTTATTACAAGAGCAGCAGTAGTGGAATTCAATTTTTTTTTACTACTGGTTCTGTGGGGGTGGCATGGCTTGGTGGGCATAGCTTGGTGGGGGTGGCAGGGCAAGGATACTGTAAAATCCCCATTCTCTCCCAACTCCAGGGCAAGGATACTGTAAAATCCCCATTTCCCCCACTCCAGGGCAAGGATACTGTAAAATCNCTTTCCTTTCCCTGACTTCCCCCTTCCTTCCTTCCTTCCTTCCTTCCTTCCTTCCTTCCTTCCTTCCTTCCTTCCTTCCTTCCTTTCCTTCAAATTCCATCTCCCTTTATCCTTCCTCCCTCCCTTCCCCTTCCCTTTCCCTGCCTTCCTTTCCCTCTTCCTTCCTTCCTTCCTCCCTCCTTCCTTCCTTTCCCTGTCTTCCTTTCCCTCTTCCTTCCTTCCTCCTTCCTTTCTTTTCTCCAAGTTCCATCTCCCTTTTTCCTCCCTCCCTCTCTCCCTTCCCCTTCCCTTTCCCTGCCTTCCCTTCCCCCTTCCTCCCTCCAATGCGTGTTGCCATGATATGATTTTGGGAAGCCAGGACAGTGCCATCTACCAGAGGCTGGCTCTCACCGTCACTTTCATCCAAATGGAACGTAGAAATGCCCCTTCCAATTTGACTGGAGGCGCTACAGCCCGAACGCGTGCACAAGCGTTATGCCGTACACCTGCTTTTGTAGGGAGAGCTGCGTCTCCCGCTTCCCCCAAAGCTGCCTGAACTGGCATTTGTGATTCCTCACCGAATCCTGTGTTTCAGACGCTAATCTGCTGTGTCACTAACAAGTTGTATCATTTGAACCTTGCAGAGGAAGGCATCAATCATGAGTGCAAGCTGTGTAACCAGATGTTTGACTCTCCAGCAAAGCTCCTGTGTCACCTGATCGAGCACAGCTTCGAGGGGATGGGAGGCACATTCAAATGCCCTGTTTGTTTTACAGGTAAGACAGACGCTCCTAGACAAGCACTCCGCGTAACGTGGCTTGATCCGGAAACGGCCCATGGGGGAATTTTTTAAAAAAACACACGCTTTCTTTTCGTGCAAGCTGGAAGGGTCGGGGAGACGGAATGGTGGCACGAAATAGAAATATTCTTTTTCAAGCTAGAGACACCCGGAAGCAGCGGTGAAATCTAAATTGTTTTTGCCACCATTGCTGTGGGCGTGGTTTGGGGGAAGGTCATGTGACTAGTTGGGCGTGGCCAACTTTCCCCCGCTTTTTACAGCATTTTTTTCCCCTGCCGGTTTGGGCAAATAGGCAGGAATTTAATGCTTTCAAAATTGGTGTGGCAGGGTGGGGAGAGAAAGCTTGCAAGCAGCTCAGCTTTGAGCTGTGCGATTGTCAGAAGCTTTTATTTTTCACTTTTTAAAGTATTTTTTCTTTTCCTGCCTATTCGCCCAAACCATCAGGAAACAAAAATGCTTTAAAAAGCAGGAAAAAAAATCTTCCAATAATCATGCAACTCACAGGTGAGCCACACGATCCTTGGAAGCTTTTTTATTTTTTTACTACCAGAACTAACAACAATCGTCCCTATTGGTTCAGCTGAAGTGGGCGGAACCAGGAGGATTTCACCCCTGCACATGGGAGAATTTTTAAAAACACACTCTTCCTTTTCGTGCAAGCTAGGAGGGTCGGGGAGACGAAATCGTGGCACGCAATAGAAATATCCTTTTTCAAAGTAGAGACACCTGGAAGACAATCTCTTTCTCACCCTCCTACTTTTCACTTTAGGTCATCACCCACCCACCCCAATCATGGACACAAGCCTTTCAATATAGTCTCTAAATAAGTGGAGTAATTTACAATGTGGGATAGAGATTGCTCTCAGTATGGAAGGATGAGAATTGCCAACTTTCTTACCTTGAATTGGGATGGTTCTTTTGCAAATATCCTGGATGAAAAACCCACTGTTCCCAGCTAGTACCGTATTTTTCGGAGTATAAGACTCTCCAAAGTATAAGACGCATCTAGCTTTTNGCGCTTTAGACACCGCGGTTTAGTCAGGCGCGCTTTTGTTGTGAGCGCATTTTTGGTGGAACCGCGGTGTTTTAATTCCCAATAACGAGATTCCGGAGCCTCGGGAACTTTACATCACGGGGGAGGATCCTACGTAGGACGTCTCCACTGTAGGCTTGTGTCTAGGGGTGAAAATAAGGTGCAAAAGAGTGCGAACGGCGAAGATTGCACTGCAGTTAATCTGCCACATGGAACCGGGCCTCCGACATTGCTCACTGCAAAGCATTTTGCAAATAAGGTTATGGCGCCCTTAGGAATAACGCGGCGTGATTATACAACACGATTCCCAGGGATGATTCTGAGTGGAAAATGGATCCATTGCTTCACACCTCCCCCCCCCCCAAAAAAAATTACCAATATCCTCGGTTCTTATTTGCTGGCGGGGGTGGGGGGAAGGTCATTCTTTCCCTCACCTCTCATTCTGCGCCCACCCTCGCTCCCCCCAGCAACTAGTTTCAACCTTGGGGAGAAGTAGCTCCAGATAGCTGCCGCTGCTCTTTGTGTTGTGTTGTGTTCTGGTGTTATCTGTCGGAAGGCTGTTTTTTCCGGAATATTTGTCTTGTGTTTCTCTGCAAGCTGCCCTAGGCTGAAATGACAGGTCTGAAAGCAAACACGAAGCGGGTAGGTGGGGAAGAGAAGGATCATTAATTGTCTGGCTTAGAACTGAAAGGTAAAGTTATCGGTAGCTCCCGCTATCATTTCTGGGCTCCTGATGTTTTGCTACCAGGCCCACTTCTATTTTTTGTGAGAGTTGTGGGGCAATCCATTTCAGTAGTCTCTGGCACTTCTGTTTTCCTCTCAGGATTGACCAGAGGTTCTTTGTTTTGAATGTCCTTCCTTCCTTCCTTTCTCCTCCCTCTCTGCCTCCCCTTTTCTCCCCCTCCCTCTTTATTTCCTGCTTTCCTCCCTCCCTCTTCTTTTTTTCTTCCCTCCCTTCCCTACCCTCCTTCCTCCCTCCCTCCTTCTCTCCAACTTCCTTTCCCCTTTTTCCTTCCTTCCCCCTCCCCCAACTTCCTTCCCCTTTTTCCTTCCTCCCTCCCTTATCCTCCCTTTCCCTGCCTTCCCTTCCCTCTTTCTTCCTTCCCCCTTCCTTCCTTTCCTCCAAGTTCCATCTCCCTTTTTCCTCCCTTCCCCTTCCCTTTCCCTGCCTTCCCTTCCCTCTTCTTTCCTTCCTTCCTTTCCTTCAAATTCCCTCTCCCTTTATCCTCCCTCCCTCCCTTCCCCTTCCCTTTCCCTGCCTTCCCTTCCTTCTTCCTTCCTTCCTCCTTCCTTCCTTTCCTCCAAATTCCCTCTCCCTTTATCCTCCCTCCCTTCCCCTTCCCTTTCCCTGACTTCCCTTCCCTCTTCCTTCCTTCCTTTCCTCCAAATTCCCTCTCCCTTTATCCTCCCTCCCTTCCCCTTCCCTTTCCCTGACTTCCCCCTTCCTTCCTTCCTTCCTTCCTTCCTTCCTTCCTTCCTTCCTTCCTTCCTTC